ACGTTTTGTTCAGCCGGATAATATCCATATGTCTACCCTACTTTTATTATTTTCGAATCATAAATCTAATCGATAGATTTATGATCGATAGATTTATGATTAGCATAAGTTCGTTCATGATGGCTCACTTCAGTGATAGTGATGACATCGTTGCGAAATTAATAACCGAGTCATTTTCAAGATTGAGTGGCAAAGGATCAGCTGAAGCAAGTGCTTCATCCAAAAGGACAGGAGGATGGACTTTGTGTTTAAGTGATTTGATCATCAAAGGTCATTTTCAATGTGGGCCGCCGTGCCGACTTAATTCATTTGTAATTGTTACTTGGCTGTGGGTACCCTGTCATGATAGGTGTTTATATAAATGGTGTTGTTCTGTGTGGTAGAGGGTCGCTGTCATTGATGCGTTTTGCACCCCGGGCCACTGTTTTGATATTCCGCTGAAGTATACGCTGTGACGTAATATCTCTTCTTTGTTTTCGAGGGAAGAGGAGTCAGAGGGCCTAGGTATAAAAGTCACGGCTCGCCACTGCAGTGACGTCACGTGGTACCCATGAATACAGTAGGATTGTTATTCACGTCGGTGGTAATGATGTTCGTTTACGCCAATCAGAATGCACCGAACTTAATGTGGAGTCGGTGTTTGTAGTTATGCTAAAACAATGTCGGACACCGTAATCTTCTCTGGTCCCCTCCCCAATCTGATCAATGATGACATGTATGCTCCGCATGTCATCATTTCAGCGTTGGTTGTCTTGGTGGTGCCCAGCAAACAATGTGGGCTTCGTAAATAATTGGACAGCCTTCTGGGGAAAACCTGGTCTGATTAAGAGAGACGGCATTCATCCTACTTTGGAAGGTGCAAATCTCATTTCGGCAAATATTTCAGGGCTTTGTGGACTTAATCCATGACAAACTGGAGTTGAGACCAGGAGGCGGAGTCACAGTTTTACCCCCAGTTTCCACTGGGTCCGTCTGCGCCGCGTCACGGCTGCGCCGCGGTTTTGGTCCGACCTCCTCTAGCGCCATAACCCACCGGACGCGTCCCAGAAGCGTTTCAGAAGCGTAGCGTCGTGCTTGCAGGCTCGCAGTTTTGTTATTGATTCGGGCATCCTGGACATTTGTACTTCTACAAGAAAGTAAGTAGGCTACGTAGTTAAATGTTTTATTTTTGTGTCTGTTTAAATTGTGTTTATTGAATGGCTCTGTACTGTACCTACAAGTATTAATTAACTTTAAAACATTAATATGTAGTTGTTACCTTCCACTCCACAAACTGCAGCGACTAAAAACCAGGCCTTGTCCTTTCTGATGTTGTCCTTGTAGTAAGCATTGGTTACATCATATAAAATAGTGTATTTTTCCACTTCCATGATGAAAACCTTGTCGTCCATTGTGCGTATCGTAGTGGAGGTGTTGTGATGAAGGAGGGGGGGTCTGCTAAATTAGTATATGTGGGGGATGGGCCTGGCCCGGATGCTCACCTTTCCACTTCCTGCAAGCGGCAAAAATAGGATTCATCCTAATTTTAGAGAAGCGCTGCGCCGAGCCGCTTCTGGGACGCGTCTGAGCCGTAACGCATTTAACGCATGTGCAGAATGGCCCGCCCCATACGTGCCACCAGTGGCAGCGCCAGGGTATGGCTGGGGTAGGCTACACCCATACCAAGAAATGGCTTAGCCCCACCATGAAAAATGATGTTAAAGTAAGCGAAATAAAGTCTGCCAACTTGCGCGGAGTAAATTGCACAGACAGCAGTTAGTAAGATTGATTTCAGCAGCCACGGTTTTGAAAACTTTTGTCACGTAGTGATCGTCTTCTCAATAGAACATCTTTGATAACGGCGTGGTGTTGTTGCAGGAAGTCCCGACGGAGAATACTTTTGCTGTAGTACGGGGTGCACATAACTGGTACGCAGGTTATGTGCGTAATCTGAAATGCGTACCGTCACTTGTGTCACAAAGCGCATTTGCGTACCGACGTACTTGTGATGCTTTTCCAGAAGGCGGTTAGATCACCGGACGACAGAGTCGGTCTCCGTGTGCACAGACAGGGCTGCTGTTAACGTCGGTCTGTACAATGGAATTGTGCCAAAACGACGCCAACCGGCTGCGGAGGGAGACTCTCCCCCCCTTCACTGGAGAACTGCGCTAAAACAGCTGATCACAACGTTCACACTCTGTGGTCACGAAGTACTCCACTAGCCGCCCCCCCCCCCCCCCTCTGTCGACTTTCCTGAAGTACTCCCCCGTTGATAGAAATCAACACGTAATGAATTAAGACCCCACGGTTTGATGATTGATAGGTGTGTGGGCTGTCTTTCATTTTGACACGCAGAAAAATGTTTTAATAAACATAGATACTGTATGTTAAATGGATATATCCGCCTTCTTTCATTTATCTTTCCATTCCCACAAAAATATACATCAATAAATGGCATATTTTGGACATAGTTCGAATGGTGATTAATCATGATTAATTAATTTTAAAGCTGTGGTTAATCTGATTAAAAAATGTAATCGTTTGACAGCCCTAATAATAACCTAATAAAAGTAAATGTAACAACTACTACAGTGCAACAAAACAGGAAGATTAAATGTGGTCTCTTAAACATAAGATCTCTAGCATCTAAAGCAATATTGGTAAATGATTTAATATCAGATTATAATATTGATATAAGCTGTCTCACTGAAACTTGGTTGAGACATGAAGAATATGTCAGCATAAATGAGGCCACTCCACCCAGCCATATCAACTCATATTGCCGAGGCACGGGCCGAGGAGGTGGAATTGCAGCAATCTTTGACTCAAGTTTACTTATCAATACTAAACCAAAATTAAATTATACCTCCTTTTGAAAGCCTCGTTTTTAGTCTTACGCATCCGACCTGGAAAACTTTGCAGCCAATCTTATTTGTTACAGTGTACCGTGCACCAGGTCCTTATTCAGAATTCTTATCAGATTTCTCTGAGTTTTTATCAACTTTGGTTCTTAAAACAGATAAAGTAATTATCGTAGGTGACTTTAATATTCATGTTGACGATGATAAAAATAGCCTTACTGTTGCATTTAACTCTATATTAGATTATGTTGGTTTCTGTCAGAGTGTAAATAAACCAACCCACTGTTATAATCACACTCTCGACCTTGTTCTGACTTATGGTATTGAAATTGAGCAACTATTAGTCGAACCGCATAATCCTGCTTTATCCGACCATTTCTTAGTAACTTTTGAAGTACTGTTACTAGACTACAAAGGATTAGTCAAAAGCTCCTGCAGCAGAAACCTATCTGTTAGTGCTATAGCCAAATTTAAGGAAGAGATTCCACCAATACTTAACCCGATAGCATGTCTGCATGTAAGGGAGGAAACTTATACAAAATGTACACCACCCCAAATTGATCATGTTGTTGATAGTGCTACCGATGCGCTGCGAATATAATTAGACTCTGTTGCTCCTTTGAAAAAGAAGAAAATAAAACAACATAGATTAGCTCCATGGCATATGGCGAAACCCGCAAAATAAAGCAAAAGTCGAGACAACTTGAAAGGATATGGCGTTCCACTAAACTTGAAGAATCTCGTTTAATTTGGCATATTACTCTCAATGAATATAAGAAAGCACTGCGTAAAGCGAGAGCAGCCTACTACTCTTCATTAATAGATGAGAATAAGAATAATGCAAGATTTATTTTCAGCACTGTAGCCAGGCTGACAGAGAGCCAGAGCTTCCCCAAATGTCTTTCTTTTTGGTGTCTATATATGCTGGGATCCGCAGTCATGGATGATCCTGCGGTCCTGTGTCCTGGATCGCGAGCCCTTGATCGCGAGTCGTGGCTGTGGTCCTGGATCATAAGTCCTGGATGGATATCCTTGTGGATTCATCTTATTATTATAGACACATGCATTTCCAAACATTTGGACTACCTATGTTGCAAATGTATTATCTTTTCAATTTACACACGGCATCTATTGCACGTCTGTCCGTCCTGGGAGAGGGATCCCTCCTCTGTTGCTCTCCCTGAGGTTTCTCCTATTTTTCCCTTTAAACTGTGGGTTTTCTCCGGAAGTTTTTCCTTGTACGATGTGAGGGTCTAAGGACAGAGGGTGTCGTATTGTCATACTGATATTCTGTACAAACTGTGAAGTCCACTGAGACAAACATTTGTGATATTGGGCTATATAAATAAACATTGATTGATTGATTGAATGAGGCATTACACTTACACAGTGTGTAGGAAGTGTTATCAAAAACAATTTAAAGCACTTGAAACCACTTAAAATCACATACCCAACACCCATCTTGTCTATCCATAGACAAATAAAGTGTATTCACTGTGTACTGGAGATTTTAACACTTTAACAGTTGTACCTAAGGTTTCTTCTCAGCTTTTAAGCTTTTGAGCCTCCAAGGTATTTTTTCAATTGCTAAAATGAAACATGAAGCAAAAACTGATTGAAACTAAAAGAAGTTTAAGCAGCAAAATTGCATCCCATATCTTGACATCTAAGCAAATTCTGGAAACTTTTGCCATTTCTGGGCAATCTTCAAGACTACAGTCAAGATCTGCTCTTTATGTGTTGAGATAACTATTCATGATTTGGTGTTGTATGCAATAAATAAAGATTGACTTTTAAAATACGTCCCTATAAATTCAACAAAGGTGTACAAACACTCACCAATCAAGTGTACATTAACATTTTGGACAACATTTTTTTGAAAAAGATCTGAGGAGTTCTGCTGATGTTGTCTGAATTGTTTAGTGTTTAGACAAAAGGAACTCAGTTTTCAAAATTGTGCTTAAGCAATGATAAAAACCTCAAATAGGAAAACCATGATTAAACCGCTTCCTATTAAATTGTTTATATAATATGCCAAAAGATTGATATTATTGTTTTGTAAAATGAGAAAAAAAACTGTTTTATACCAGATTTATATATTTAAAATATACGGCTTTAGGTCAAATAAGTTGTTCCTTGTGATTTGTGTTGTACTTTATATTCAAAGGTAAAAGGGTGATGAAGAAATGGCATGTATGAAAAGTTTTGTTCATACAGTATAATTTTAAAGAACTTTCAGTTGTTCTAGTGAAACAGACATTGAGTCAGTGTGAGTCTTTCTTCACACACTTGTTTCTTCCTGTTTGTGTCATCTTCTAAATCTGGTCGCGGTAATGGGCTTATTTGCTCACTCTTGAAGAAGACAGTAAGTGTGAACATCCAGTTCACTGATCAGACTGTTAAGAATTAGATTATTCAGCAAACATTAAGCAGAACAGGAGGATGCAGCAAATGGAAGTAACAGAGTATGTTAATGAGCGACCAAGACGTGAGCAGAAACGCAGTGGGGATGCGTATCGAACAGGTAACAACACACATTATTTTATTGTTTAAGAACTGCTAGACAAAACATTTTTGTAGGCTTGGCCAAAGAAAATCAGACTAACATTGTATTCAGCATGTTAATATAATGTTTGTTAAACCCCTCTTCTGAACAGTGATTTTAAACCATAGCAGGAAAAACGTTTATGTATTGTTAAAAACTCCACTTTTTATTTGACGTAATTGTAACAACCCTTCATTTGGATTAAAAATGAGTCTGAAGGCAGAGGATTAAAGAATAAGACCCAAGTTGTTACAAATGTAACTATCCATTTAGGGAACCATTAGGATGCCAACAATTATTTCTTAGGTTGGTTAATTAACTTAAGAAACTTGACATTATATACTTAAAGTTAATAGCAGACTAGAGAGTGTCTCATGACTGTTATCGTACACTCATACTGTTGTCTTTCTATGTGTATTGGTTTCCCAGACAGAAGACGCTGTCGGCTGATTTTCCTAATATTTGGCGTGTTGTGTATGATACAAGCCATACTCAACGTTTCTCTACGCCTCTCATGTGAGTATGTTCTCTTGGCATTGTGTAAATTAAAATGTACAAAGACAGTTGCATCACAATTGCAACAGAATATTGCTAATACACACACCCAGTAGTTTTTAGTCTTGCTTTAAAAAATGTTTCACAATTATTTGTCTGAAAAAACTGAAGACATTAGTTCATTTAACTTATTAATAAATATATTTTAATACAATTTGTACACTATCAGTGTACAGGGGACCAAGTCATTTGGAATGCAACGCAACTGGTGTCAGTGATCAGAAGAAGTACAACCTTCTTCAACAAAGATTCAATGCCTTGACCAGAGACCACAACCTGTGTGAAAACGGAAACACTGAACTGAACAACAGGATAAGGAATATGGAGGATGATATGAACAGGCTGAAGAAGCCTAACTGAAAGAATTGAAAAAATTCCTCTAAGTCTTCTTACTCACTTTTGTTTCCTTCAATTCCTTCCTCCTTTACTTACTGAACCTTGAATTGTGATGTTTTTGTTTTGTTTTTTGGACAACCAATGCCATCTAGAACAGCAAATACAAAATATGTAACCTGATTAGCATCAGATGTTTTTTTGTGATACTTGCACAAGGGGTTTTAGGCGAGAAAACATTGTTTAAATATATAATTTAGATATCAATATGTCTTTATAATTGATGAACGCATTTGTAGTTGTAAGCTTTTATGTACTTATTCAAATGTTTAATGAATAGAACACTTAAATAAAGGAATTGTCAAAATTGAAGTCCAATGTGTATTCCATTGAATATATCAATTAGTGTAATTTCTGATGGAATTTTTGATATTTCAGCCTCCAGAGTTGAGTGGTGTGTCCTCTCAGGCGTGTCCCGCAGGTTGGACAGTGTGTGTGTGTGTGTGTGTGTGTGTGTGTGTGTGTGTGTGTGTGTGTGTGTGTGTGTGTGTGTGTGTGTGTGTGTGTGTGTGTGTGTGTGTGTGTGTGTGTGTGTGTGTGTGTGTGTGTGTGTGTGTGTGTGTGTGTGTGTGTGTGTGTGTGAACATTTGTAAGCATGCACGGATAATTTCATGGATAAAAAAAGGCCATCTTTTGAGGGATGTGTCTTTGAAGAGCTGCTTGATTACTCAAAAACAACTGTTAGTGTGTTTATGCACCTGGCTGCCAAAGATAAACATGCAGTTTGACCAAGGGCTTATTTAATTAGTGAGCAGAGAAGGAGAAAGACCTGGAGCAAAGAGAAGGAACTAAAATGAAGAAGCATGTCAGTGCAGAAGAGACTTCAAAAATAATCTTGCAGCCTTCATCTGCCAGCGAGCTGCAGGACTCATCTGAAGAAGCAACCCTGTCTCCTAAAAATTACGTTCCCACAGAACTAAACTGCATTCTCAATTACGTTTAACGTATTTTCTCCCACGTTACGTTCGTTATGAACGTATCTCAAATACGTATATTTTCAACATATCTTCTAGAAACATATTTTCTCCCACGTTACGTTTCTTGTGAACGTATCTTAAAGACGTTTATTTTCTACATATCTTTACTATTTATTGTCTTGCTTATAATAATGATATAATCATTATAATCTTATAATCATTTATAAATATCATTTTAGAGCACACATTTGAAATCAGTAGGCGAGGCTGTAATTTTGCCAGCTGTTAAAAGTAAAACATTGGATCAACTAAAAATAATTAGAGTAATCGATCACACGAAATATTTTACATTGACTCAATGAAAGTCCATTTCTTCAGATCAATCTGTATATTTGAACTCCAGGCAAACTATTATCTGATGGTGAAGTAAACCAATTATTTTACGTTGTCCTAAATGAAAAAAGTGTGTTGTTGTTACTGACTGAATGAAAAAAAAACATCCAGTTGAACCTGAAATAATTAAACTAAATTCAAAACCATTTCTTAACTAAATCAAACCAATTATTTTACATCGTCTCAAATATAAAATGTAAATTGTCAGTATCTGAAATGTATAGCAATTCTAATTTAAAAATGTTATGATATAGCATTTAATGACAAATAACAAATTATTTTAGAGCACATTTATTTGAATGAAAAACAAGTTATTCACACAACCAGCTTTGGCCTCTGAGGCAGCCATTACCTGATCTTAAACAGACATCTTTGAAACAAACTTTTTGAAACAAACTTTTTGATGTTTTACTTATAAAGTACTTGACAAAAAGTACTTAACATCTTAATTATATAGAAAATCTTACCATGTAAGAACAATGGTAACTGCAAGTGAGTGAGTGCAACAAAGTGTCTACTCTGGGGTGAACAGCTGGGTTCTCAGTCTATTCACTTTTGGGCTCATCTTTTTTCCCTCAAGCTCCATCAGGACTTTTTGCACAACTTTAAAAGTGGATTGCAGTTCTTTAGGATATTTTAAGTTCAGTGCATATGAGCCCGAAGAGCATGGCAAAAGCTGTCGCAACCGAGGGCAAGCCGCTGAGGACCTCTGTTCCTTCGATGAGAACCTTGACGTCTTTGGGTCGATGAAACTGATCCTCTTTCCCAATGACAAAGATTGCCATTGTTGCCTGCTCCAGTTCTCCAGCCTCAGCTTCCTGCATATCATGCAAAAAAAAGAGAAATGGATGAGGACCACAGAGTGTAGTTCAACAGGCCTGAGGCGCAAAAGTTTCCACAAGTTTACAGCTACCTTTAAAAAAAACAAGATTATACTGGATAGATGAAAAAAGGAAAGTTCTCAGTTTAGTCAGATGGTTGCCCAAGAGGAAAGCTCAGGAGGTCATAACAAATTACTAGCTTTTTAACCAAGCAGTTATTTGCATGCAGTACAAATATGTTATTTTTCTTTTATGAACAAACATCTTGTGAGTGAGTGGGAGGTCTTACCTGGAATTCTTTGATGAGATGGTCAACAGGTTCACCCAGGTAGATCATAAGAGATTTGAGGATGCATTCTCTTCTGATGGTGATGTCCACAGTCTGAGTAAGAACAGTTATATATATATTTTAAATCAAATGCAAAAAAAAGGACTATTCAGCCACTGATCCCACAGATAAAAAACTAATTCATAGATACCTCATCTAAAACCTGCAAGATCCCGCTGGTCTTCTGTTTCACAACTCCTCCCCTGCTCCTGATGACCTGCAGCAGTTTGGTGTTTGTCCAACTGCGCCAAGAACTTTGTCTCCAATGGAAATGTTGTTATGCGCATGAACTCAGTATTTACCTAGAAAATATAAGCAGTATAGAAAACAAAAAACACTGAGAATTTATAATACACATTTTTTTTTTATAAAGAGCCAACGTTTTGATTAAAAGTACTCTAAGTCAGCTTGTATGAATGTAACTTTTAAATGAATTAATCCACATATTTATTGAAAACCACCACCAAATAAAGACACAAAGAGTCATAGATGTAAAGCTTATATTGTGATATATATACACACGGTTTGATTGGCTAGCAGTTGTACTGGCAGATTTTCATAAACGGGATTTGATTGGCTGACGCCTCCGTCGAAGCTTCAAAAGTTGAACATGGCTCAACTTTTGAAGCTTCTTGACGCGAGCAAAGTGTAGCTACGCTCCCCACAATGCAGTTCGGTGAAGCGTGACGTCACCCCATTCAAGTGAATGGGCAGAAGCGTTGGAAGCTTCAACGCACGCCGCTGTGTGGACGGGCCGTGTGTGTGTGTGTTTGTGTATGTCTTCGTGTGTGTGTCTCTGTGTGGGTGTGTTTGTGTGTATGTCTCTGTGTGGGTGTGTTTGTGTGGGTGTGTGTGTGTCTGTCTTTGTGTATGTATGTATGTGTGTGTGTGTCTGTGTTTTTTAAACTTACCACAAGCAATGACCATTCACAGGAACATCCACATGGGTAGAACAGTAGGAATAGACAGCTGCTTCCCGGAAGTTTAAAGAGAAAACTTTTCATTAGTCTTTAATTAGCCATCAAAATGTCTAAGCTACAAGAAGATCATTGACATAATTATATATATATATATATATATATATATATATATCAAACATTAAACTTAAATTCGTTACTCAAAGCCTATACTTTATTTTAGTGATGTAAAAATATATAACACAATGTTGTAAACTAACGTTACAATTACAATATCTTTATCAATTGAACTTGAACATTCAAATATAAGTCGCTCGTCAATAGGAAAGAAGCACTTACTCTGGCCTTAAATTGACGTTTAACACCAGAATTTCTACTCTGGTAATAAATACAAATTCATAGTCGTATCTATTTATTTACAATAGAAAATACGCAGCCCGCCTGTTCATACTGTTTACAGGCCACCAAGCCTTAGTTAAGAAAAGTTCAAGTTGATACTTAAAGGTGGGGTAGGTAAGTTTGAGAAACCGGCTCGAGATACATTTTTTGTTATATTCCATGGAATGCTCTTAACATCCCAATAGCAATGAATATCTTAAGTGCTTTGACAAAAAATCCATAAAAAAACGTCATCTGTGGAAGCCGTAGTACTGTAAAAAGCACGACCAATCATTTTAGCCGGCCCGGCTAAAATAACTGGATGGCCTACCTGCCTGTCAGCCTCATGGGAGCCTGCCTGCAGACCTCCACTCTCAGGACACCTCCATTGTCAGTACAGGAAGTGACGATTTTGACGCGTTTTTTTTCCCGCCCACCGAAGGACTCGTTTGATGGAAGTTTTCAAATCACAATGGAGACTCATCACGGAGGTTCTCGTAAAAGTTTTTCGCTCAAATGACACCATGGAGGAATGTAACGGGAGTTGACAGGGGACTCTGCCCGCCTCACGAGTGCCTATTTTCGGACACTTTTTTTCACTTTTCCCCGGTTTTATTATTTTTATTTTTTTTGGCTATTTCACCCGGTTTCTACCGGGGACATTGCCCGGTCTCGGGGTGTCCCCCCACGGTCTGTGTCCAGCCCCCCCCTCCCCCCCACTCATCCATATATTAACGGATTTTGACAATTTTTGTTGCATTTTTCTCCTCTCCTCTCACTGATCGAATGGCAAACGCGACCCATTGTCTAAAATAAAAGATGTCGTATTTATATATATAAATAAATATATATATATATATATATATATATATAGATAATAAGTGTCAGTACGATTTTATTTTGTATTTGCGTGCATTTCCTGTTCGGAAAGTGGCGCTGCGGCTGTACTGATAGTAACAACAATACAAGGTGTCCGTATATATCTATATATATATATATATATATATATATATAGATATATATGTATATAATAAGTGTCACGATCCGTCACGATCCGATTTTATTTTGTATTTGCGTGCATTTCCTGTTTGGAAAGTGGCACTGTACTGATAGTGGTGATTTTATTTTGGAATTCTTAGCGTACACTTCCTGTCCTGAGAGTGGAGGTGTCCTGAGAGTGGAGGTCTGCACCGGAACTGTCCTGAGAGTGGAGGTCTGCAGGCAGACCCCTCTCGTCAGCCTTCCATATGTGCACAAACTTATCTCGTGCCCTCATTGGTTCGTGTGTGTTGGAGGAGGGGCTCTGTAAGGAAGTGGCAGATTTTTTCCGGCTGTGTATTTTCAAATTCTAGCGCACTCGAGCTGGTTTCTCCAAAATTACCTACCCCACCTTTAATGTTTGTCTGAGTATATCTGCCTTTGAATCTGGCCATGTGCCGCTAACGCTAGCATGCTTTATTCAGACATAGCCTTTAGTCGAATTGGAGTCATGGGTGGGTAGTGTTTTTACAGTCCGCTAGCTCAGTTAAGAACATTTAACGTTGAGGGTGATGAATGT